TGTTTGGGTGATCTGGTAGTGCAGCTATTGAAGATTGTGAAGAAAATTAAAATTTTGCCCTGAAAACTGCACCACTTATTTGTTTTACTAAAAATTGGGGTGGGGAGGGGGTTGTTAAAATGCTTCCTACGGGGGATGATCAATTCATTTAGGGGGTGAAATCTGATGTTTGAGGGTTGGTACCCCTTGCACCCACAATAAATCTGTCCATGGTTTAGCCAAGCATTGCGACGACTAATAGTTATATAAGAATCTGTTTATAGGTCAACTTAAAAAAAATTTAGGCTCTTATATGTGGGGTCTAACTGTATATGACTGTTGATAGTATTCTGCAACTCTATATAAAATTGCATCTTAAAATTCAGTCTAATATTTGTTACGCTTTGTTGGCTAAATTTTATGTCATTTACTATTGCTTGGCTTCATCTCGATCAATGTAGCTTAATGTCCTTTCGATTCCAAAGTGACTTCGGTAATTTCCCAAAGAATTCATTTTCATTTTTACTTCATCATCAGTCTCGTCATATAATTGCATTTAATAGCAAATTATCTGACACAAAAAAAACAAACTAGCTACATTGCATGTGTTTACAAAGCAGGGACATGCTGGGCTGGCGGGTGACGAGTCAAAGAGAAGTCATTGTGGTCCTCTGAGACTATTTATGACCTCGTTACAGGCCTCCGCTTACAAAACAGTTTATCAAAGTAACTTTTGTATAGAAAGGTTGAATAATATAGCTACACCAAACTTGTTTAGGTTTTTTATACCCTGCTCAGGCTTCTAAAATGTGCTCATTGTTTGTTCTTCTGGAAGTTTTGGCATTAAAGCTTCATTTCCTTTTAGGAAATTTAATTATAAAAATAGCAAATGTGAAAGAGTTCATGAATTCGAATCATACGTGTGTAAAGAAGCTTTTCTGAAAACATTCTGCATTTAAGCCAAGTTCAGTTGTTAGAATTACATAAGTTATGATGAGAATATTCATGAAAACCTTGATAACGGAGACCTTTAGATTATTCATGTACAGCAGTAGTTAAACATGTAACTGATGTAAGAATATTCAGTAACAGAGTTTAATTATCTTTTTGTTAACTTTTGAGTTCTATTTTAAAATGAAAACGAATAATGAAAAGCTTGTGACACGACAAAATATATTTGACCATATATATGGAAAACTTCCGCAGTAAATTCAACTGAAATAGAAAATTGTAACGAAGTAGATATATTCGATAAATTAAAAAATCAATTTTACGTTTTCTGTTTCAATTAGACGAAACAATTTATTATAGGCTCTATTGTTTAAGCATGACGTAGAATAACACAGACAAAGACATTTTGAAACTTTTCAAGGGCATATTTGCTTGCCAATATTGTTCGTTAGGATCAGGCTTATAGTGAAATCGAATTATAAATTATAAAATGTAGATTCCACTTCCGAAAGAAAGGTATAAATAGCGCGAGAGAATACGCGATGTCTGTGTATCAATTGCAGAAGTTAAATTAAACCAGTTGTTTAAAAGCGAAGTCGAGAACGAGGTTTAGAAAAGTTTTGTTGTGTTTTGTCACTGGTAAGTGCATAAACTTTAATCAATCTGGGTGTCCTAATTCAGGCTGAAATTTCCATTGCGATGGAAATATGTTCTTTAAGCATATCAGGGAGACAGTAAATCAGATTATGCTACTGTAATACTGCACGAATAGAATCTATTGTGCAGTGCTGGTGTCGTACAGTAGTGTATTGCAATATTTAATTCTCCCTTGCAAGCATGGTATTTCGATTTTAAGCTCGTGTTTCATATCATGTGATACGTGAACAATGACTGTGATTTATTTTAGAGAGACGATATGCCGCTTACCTTTCAAGACATCACAAAAAACATCACCCAGGGTGTTTCATTCGCCAATAATCTTCTAGGGGAAAACGGAGAGGTATGTTATACAAATTGATAGTTTAGTCTAAACATACGGTTATCACTATATAAACGCTTAAAACTGATTTGATTGTTGATATGATTTAAATTATGCACAGAAATTGTATTTTACCAATCATGACTAAAAACTAGAATTTTCAGAAAAACCTTTCTCACAGCACGCATTATGCTATGAATAAGGTCGGATCAACATCGCGCAAAGGTTGTGGTAGATTTTTAGCACGAGTCCTCTAACATCCTGATTTTATGTCATACACTTAAAATTATGTTAACTGACATTTGGTATCGAAAATTGAATGTCGAAAAGCCTGAAGAACTCAGATACAGCATGAAAACAGTTATTCATACAGTAACCAACAATAAGGAAAGCAAAAACTTACACTTAACAGCGTATATGCCTAAAAATAATGGACTGTTGTCAAACCTACATTTGCTCTGCACTTATGTCCTTAATTTTTTATATGAGGGGTCAGTTCAAGCTGACTGGTAAAAGTTACGCCCACTTTTTCATTGCAAAATTGTTAGTTAGCGATGAAACACAGAAACAGAAAGGTTTCGTAGAATTTTAGATCACAGGCTGTTCAGCTTTTTATAAGTTTGAACTTTGAGAGAACATTGTTAAACAATGTTTAAACCATTTAAAATTTTCTGGTTTTTGTGCAATGGTGCCCATTCCATAATTTGAAAATTAAATACACCTTTCATAAACGTTCAAAGAAGAAGCTAAATTTGTGGGTGTCCTTCCTATAAGATACATCCACACTACAAAATTTGTGGGTGTCCTTCCTATAGGATACATCCACACTACAAAATTTGTGGGTGTCCTTCCTGTAAGATGCATCGACACTAAAAAATTGTGGATGTTCACACATCAAGGCACCCGCGGCTTTCCAAGCCCCCTCTATGTACGTAGATTGAATGACACGAGAAAAGAGTGGGTGTTCACACATCAAGGCACCCACGGCTTTCCAAGCCCCCTCCATTTACGTAGATTGAATGACACGAGAAAAGAGTGAGTGTTCACACATCCAGACACCCACGGCTTTCCAAGCCCACTCCATGTACGTAAATTGAATGACACGAGAAAAGAGTTTAGGACTAAGAGTAGAGACTTTGAATGTTGGAACTACGAATTGAAAGCTAGGGAATAGGAGGAAATGATGCAAAAGAAAAATATATATAGAAGATAAAGAGTTTGGTAGGTAAAGCAGTGCAGAACAATCTAAAAATTGAAAGGTCAGTGATCGGAGAGGTCTTCATTGGAGATGCTGGTACAGGCAAAAAGTTCATGATAAAGTGATAAGGAAACTCATTCTTGTTTACTATGGTGATAAACAAATTATCAGCTCATCGGACAATGCTAGACAAGAATCTGTCGAGAGGTAGAGGCCTGCTCTGGAGATAAGAGGTATGATGATTAATCAATCGAATACAAAATATGAATATGTGAGTGAGGGTGACAAAAGAAGAGCTTTGAAGTTAAAAAAATGAGAGATAAAGAATAGAGTAAATCGTTTAAAAGATGATGATCTTAGATCTTCGGGGAAAAAGAGCCAATGGAAGACCGAAGCGGAGATATCGACTATAAGAGAGCTTTCAATTAAATGACTTGACAAGCAGAATGCAGCAGACAGAAAGAGATAGTTGCTTAATAATTGGCTAAGGCTTCATTTCATAAATCAGAAAGATAGGAAAGAGAAATATATCCAGTGAACGTGGTCATATGTTGTAAGCGAGATAGTAGTAACTGAGATAGACTAGCCACATAACCATAGGCGGCGGAAGTTGGGAGGCTGAATACTGGGGTGCAGGGTTTCAAATACACGAAGAGCCTGAACAATGGGGGGGACTGTTAGAGTGATTCCCATCAATAGGTTTAAAATGAACCGTCTTAATACTTGCCATATAAATAAAGGTACTAAAAAATGCCAGCTGTAGAATATTGCATTGCTCCAAAAATCTCCCTCGCCTTTGATTGTTATAAAGTAATAGAGCGTTCTCACATAATCAAAAAAAAAATGGGTAATAGCTTTGGCCTTGCACATCCCCATCTAATGCTGGTTCCACCGCCTATGACATACACAAATCAGCTTTTAAGTCAGTAAATCTAGTTGTGTAGAAACCCAATCTCTTTTGGAAATTAACAAGAAAAAAAAGTTGCTTAATACTTTTTAGTGGTCGTTTAAACAAACAATGTTTTACATTTTTATCTGAAGAAATTATTAAATTTGAAATTTTATCCGAGAACGATTTCATCTGAAGTGTTTCTCGTTATAGGTACCTCGTGGTAATGGCAGCGTTATAAAATGGACAATTCAGGGCACTCTACGTGGTTTCGAATGGAAGTGGATCTGTACTTGCATCGATACGAAAACTGGAATAACGGCGGTGGCAACAAAGTCAAGTAGGAATGGTGCAATGGAGTGGGCGTTCGATGATATATTCAAGAAATTAGCAGCCGAAGGTGCTTTGTAAACCATTGGAAGAGTATGCATGTGTTTAGGTTGTGTGCTGCATTAAGCAATAAAAAGCAGTTGTGATTTAAATAAATTTCAATAAAAAATGTGAGATCAAAGGTTTGGAAACTTTATGCTTAGCATGTTTGTTGTTCTATACTAAGTTAGTTGACGAGTTTAAAAATCGATACATTGGTACTGGTAGTCCAATAGAACTGATCAAGTTGGTGATAATGTTATTTTCTGCTCGCAATGTTGAGAGAATTTAAAGATCGGAATTAGTTTCGAAAATAGTGGAAAAGAGACTTCCGGATATAAAAAATTAATCTAACTTGAACAACATGCATGCACTTTGATTTTGCCGAAAAAATAAAGTCGTTTTGTACATTTACTTACTTCTAGTGACACCTTATGAACATTTATTTTTGTGCATTTGTAAATGCCTGCAAAAAATCATGTCGTGGAAAGCATTTAGCTCGGATCTGAGAATGTAAACAAACATCTGATTGCCGGTTGAAAACAAGATTTCACCTTTTTGGATACAAAAGAATGCTAATATAAAATATTTGTCATTTTTGGGTGTTTGTCAAAATGTTTGTGACGTGCTGCTTCCTGCTTAAGAGTTCATATGGTAAAAGTTGCACTTGGTTTAAAGAAGTAGAAACCAGTGGCTAAAGTATTGTTAATGGCATACATGGCACTACAAAAATCACTGGCAATGATATGTTTTATGTCAGTGCTTTGTTCTAACAGTAAGTGTGACTTATTTCAAAGACTGATTATCAGAGAATCAGAATATGAATTCTAGGTAACCGAGTTATCGATATTTACGAAATATTAAGAAATATACTTATAGTCAACCAGATCGAATATGGATTATGTTTTAACTTATATCATTAGAATGTTGGCGAAAACTATCTGATTAAAGTTTTCAACATAATTATGAGGTTCAAAGAGTTTCAATCATTCAAAATAGTCAAATTTTGAAAAACTTTGAGACATTAAAATTTGACAATTGCGTAAACTGTTTTGACGATACACTTCAATGCACTCGCACTAGTTACATAAGTCCATATTATATAAATTTCCATTTCAATGAATTACTTCGACACATAACAGCCATCCTGCTTTCGTTTGAAAGAAAAGTATGAATAGAGACGAAAATGTAAGTTGCAGAAGGACTGACTGAGCCAGTTTTTCCAGAACAACGTCGACAACAACAATTTTGTTGTCACATTTTAGCTGGCGCCTGGAAAGGTACCTTTGAAGAACTAACTAACAGCATTGGCAAGGGTGTATCAATAGCTAATCGACTTCTTGGTGAAAGTGGGGAGGTACTTTATACGATTAAATAGTTTGCTTCTATTTAAATATGATGACATAAAATACATATTTAATACATGCATAAATATGTGATGCAAAAGTATGTTAATATAAGCGTATATATGTGTCGAAGTGTGAATTGTTGCATGCTAAATTCTTATAGGAAAACAGTTGTTGATTTCATGTTATGTAATTTAGGAAATTACAAATATACTGCCACCCCATCTCGACTAATACGCCTATGCTCTTGCAATTTTTGTATTTGAACTTAAATTCAAAGGTACCTCGTGGAAGTGGTAGTGTTGTAAAATGGACAATTCAAGGCACTATACGTGGTATCGAGTGGAAATGGATCTGTACTTGCATCGACTTAAAAACTGGAACAACGGCAGTGGCAACAAAGTCAAGTCGAAATGGTGCAATGGAGTGGGCATTTGAAGATCTTTTTAAGAAATTGGCACGACAAGGGGACTTGTAAAGTACAAAATATAATCGAGAGACACTGTGCACGCGTCGAACTTGTGTGTTTTAATGTATAAGCAAAAATGTTGTTTTGAGCCATTGAATTTGCATGAGCGAACATGATAATTTTTTAACTGAAGACATTCCTTCGACTTTAATGTTAGAGTTTTCCATATTTGATATCGTACCAATACCATAATTAAACTTGCAATCGTGTAACACAAAACGATGTATGACATTTAAATTTACAAATAAACAATAAGTTGCAAATGTAGGTTACGTATATGCAACTATCAAACAAGTAACGTAAAACTATATAGAAGAAATATAACTCAAGAAAACATGACTAATGACTAACAAAAACATGACGCAAATGTGCAAAAATACTGCACAAAATTTTTTAACTTCTAAGATAATCATTTGTGATTGTGATTATGACAACGATTCCAACCAACCCCCCCTACTTTGCCTTTAAATACTTTCAAAAATTCAACTTACTGGCCTTACGGTTAAAGCGTAGCTCCTATTGCAATTCACGTCCATGCCAGATATCGTCCATTATATTGCTTCGTTTATTGTACATAAACAATATCTTTTATTCTCACTTGTAGTTTCATGCGACATCAACATGTCATTTCTAGTGCATGAACTAACCGACAATACATAGACATGAGAAGTAGTACCTGCAATTACTGAAATGAATTTAAATCACTGATTCACATCAGCGAAGCCAGTCCGTTCTTCTTTTTCCCACAATGCAAATATTCTTGATGTGCATGTACGTCATAGCCGCCATATTGGATTAATTTAACAAAGGATTTTCCTTATTTACAATGCAAACTTCATTCAACATGGCGAGCATTCCATTGTTCTCTTGTATAAACTAAGAGATTTCTTACAAAACGTTTGGAAGAAAAGTGAGTGCAAAATGTGAAATAAAAACATTTTACAAAGCAATAAAGATTAAGAGTTCTAGAAACTTTTGTATTTGAGGATGGATAGAGAACAAAACTTGAAAAGACAAACTAATTGCAAGAAAGAACTGTTTTCTTCCATAACTTTTACTTTCAAACTCGATTGTTTTGTTCCGTAAGTTGTGTAAGCTACAGAGAACGTGTGGAAAAATATGAGAAATGTGAAAATGTTTTGTTGCAAGCCATTTTGTGGCGGCAGCAATATGACAATCTCCAAGGTGAAGGAACGCCTTTAAAAAGCCAGAGAAGATTTTTTTAATTTGTGCCATTAGACTAATGGCCGCAACCATTTCAGAAAACACTCCCCCATTCCTCCTAGCGCCAGGAGAGATGAAGGATGCATGTTATTTCCCGGCGTTTTTATATATGTATCATCACAGACGCATTTTGACACCCTACAGAAATTTATCATCGTCAATAAACTGTGGACAGGACGATCAGGACCAGATCAAGGGAGGGAGGGAATTATGGGTGGTCGCATGGTTCCCCACGCAAAGCAAATGTTTTTTCTTTCTAAAACAAAACATTATTATTTTTAGAGTTTTTGTCTATGAAGGATGTCAGGGGGGAGCTTTTGACCGTCAGAGGCACTGGAGAAGCTTCATCTGCCCCTGATTGTGGAGGAAACTATTTTGTACCTTTGTTACAACTTTAACTTAAAGAAAATCAAAGTTTGCTTAACAATTCTTTAAGTGACGCTTATTATTACAACCGACATAACGGCTGTAAATAAATGAGCTTTCACATTCACTTTTTTCTCTCAGGATTCCACATCTATCCGTCAAGAATTTTACATAAAACACTGTCTAGAACATGAATAAATATACATTCTTTTCCAACTATGTACAGGAACTTCCTTATATTTACATAACATACAAGTATCTTATATTGTACCAACGTGACAGAAAGGTTTAGAATTTACCAACGTGAGAAAAATCGAAAAAGTAAGGAAGACGAAGGGAAAATGCAACTGCATCCCTAGTCAGCACTAAGCTGTCCATGCATTGTCGTTTATCATTTAAAATTTTGTTGTTGTTTTTTTGCAAAAGTCGCAGATAAACGAGATGATGAAGAATGACTTTACTACTATTTCTTTTTATGTAAGGTTAGGATGAGCAGTCAACATCAAACGAGCTGATTGGCGTGCGTTGCAAGACATACTGTCCATTTCAATTGTTTAGAACTCGATCTCCTATACGTCTAACTACTGTGTCAAGGTGAGGCAAGAAAGCCATCTTAAAGGTGGCAAAAATTAAAACCCTTAATCAAAAATAAGTTGAAAGAAAGTTAAAAACGAATCCTATGTCAAACATTTTAAAATACCAAACCTATACTATCAACTCTGCAATTATATATCAACGCATACAAAGAAGATTTTAGACGACAATATTTTAAATTTTGCCACTTATTAAGTTGGCGGCTTGCCTCATTTGTAACTAAATAAGTTTGGCGGAGTCATTTATCTATGGTAGTATGGCTTCCAGGTCATCGGTCCAAACGGAGTACGCTATGCATTCTTTTGCAAATTCAACATGGCGTAGGTATGATCTAAAAGAATGTCGCTGTTACATAGCAAAACACCAAATCTTGAATCAGAGTTTAAAGTTACTTCCATGATTGTCAGTAGTCGCACTCATACGGGAAACAAAATGTCTGCTGTGGAAATATGCCAACAACGAATTGCGTTGATTTAGGCAATCCGTTGCGTCTGTGAGGGAGGTTGGGAAAGGGGCAGGACAACAAAGATTGGACGGTCTTTGAACTGACGAATTAATAGAAGGAAATATTGCTTGTGGGTTGTTTTCATCAAACAAGAATCCGCAACTGCGTTTCATTGCAGACGAGAGATATGGCGATTGCCCTGTTGACAAGAGGAAAAAAGTTCTCTGTTAATCATCAAAAATATTTTTTAAGGGATGACAGAAGTGGTAAAAAATGATTTTCTTTTGTGCTGTGAGATAATTGTTATATCATTTTCTGAAGTCTATAAAGTAGTGCTTCGATGACTTCTGTTGCTTCATTGCTCAATGATTAATGGTTCGTTTTACATATTTCATCGACAAAAAACTGTCCTAAAACAAAAAGATTTACTTCTTCGACAACATTCAAACTGACTGTCTCCATGCATCAAAATGTTCATAAACTCGTTTCAGGGACAGCAGAAGCCATTTCAAGAACGTCATGAGAAAAATGTAACTCGAGAGCATTACCACTTATATCGAACATTCCGCTTACAAATACAAGAGTCAAGCTTTGACGAAAACGAGGAAATGGTTTCTTTAAGGCCGTAACGTCACACAGTTTTTCTACTTTGGCCGACAAAAAGATATGTTAGGTGCAAACTTTGAACTTATAGCTAGTACAATATCTCACCTGGATCACTGGGAAAGCGAAAATGAGGATCCATTCGCCAGGGCGTTGGAGCATGTAGCACCGGTGATAAAGGTTGATCGTGGTAAGAAAAGATACGAGTAACTTGATCACAAAAGTCTTTGTTCCTATGAAAAAATACTTTCAAAATGAAGTTGTGAAAATTCAATTGAGATTTTAATGAATGTTGGGCAAATGAATATGCTGCCAATTTGTGCAGGTCATTTTGATATGTTTGTTTCGGTAAAACTTACAACACAGATAAAAAAAGCCCATGCATTAAAACAACGCCGATCCATATCCTTAATATTAAACGTATGTGATAGATTGACGTCATATTTTCATTTTTATGTGCATTGTTCATCAGTTATGAGCTTTAGCAGTGCACAAGCAGTGGAGTAGCAAACACAATAATTGGGGAGGAGGCACATATTCGTATGTGCATTTTCTGACGTATTAAGCTCCTTTGCAATCTGTTGTTTTCAACAGTTTATAACATGCATATATGAATATGCATCCCTCCTATTTTTTAGGGGCGGACTGATCTGCCGCACTGACAAGAAGGCTCAGGTCAGCATGTTTTAGAATGTTATTATTATGTATTCATAATGGGGCTCGCTAAACTTCTGCACATCAACCATTGCCAAAATTGTACATTTTTCAATAGTTTATCAAACCAATAAAACAGCAACACGATTTCAACAAATTATCCCAGTTAATAAAATGTTGCATGTGACTTATTTCAAAATCAATAATCGCGCCAAAATATGTCAGTTTTCAAAAACGCAGTTATGTGCTGCAACCAGAACCGTCCCTAGAAAGTTATTTGGAAAGGGAAGAGGTGGTGCATATTCATTTATAAAATTGCACCCAAACTGAATTTGCTTTCGAAAGAAATCATTTACGCATAACTGAATACATAAAGAAAAAACCCCAGCCCAGTGAATGACCTGGGGAAGGCTATGGTCTACCATCTTTTAGTTTACAAAGCAAAAAGAAAATGCGAAATGAATTCAAATCAAATCGATTCTTGCCTTTCAAGATAAAATACGTCTACGTTATATAATGTTACCTTTCTCTCCATTCCGGATTTAATAAGCGCGATGAGTCACGAAATCCTTTCGCAAATGGGTTGCTGTTGATCTTTAGTCGGGTAATCTATGAAATTATTTAGACGGCAAATAAATTTTTTTGTTTAGCTAAATCGTTAAAAAAGTGGCGTGGTCGTTGCGCAATGCCCTTTAAGCACAATTTTCAAATACAAACACAGCTTCATTTACGTAAAACTATATTTACAACCCAACAAAGACAATTACTTTTACAAACATACCCCAAAAGCAGTTGCATATTTTTGAGAGAATGCTTGAATAACTCCAATGAAAAATCAATGCTATTTCAGATTTGGGCAGTAAGCAAGTGGCATAGTGAGCCCATAAATTTGGTCGTGCTGTCAGTGGCATTAAAAACTTGTCATTTGGGAAAGGGGTGGGGCATACACTTTAATATGCATGTTGTACTCTGTAGAAAACAGCGGATTTCAAAGAAACCTAGAACCTCCAAACAAGAATATGTGAATATGTACCCCCCCTCTTAAATTGACAAGTTTACTACGCCACTGCATGTGATAGTAAATATCACCGTGTTCACCATTGAACTAAAATACATGCATAGAACGCTATCTGAAGAAAATAAATGAAGCCAAATCTTATACCCAGACATGCGAGATAACAACCAGACACGCGTGTTTAATGTTTCGAGATTCTCTCGCGGAGTGAAAATTGATTGAACTACACACGCGTGTCTGGGTGTAATATCGCGTGTCTGGCTGTAAAATTTGGCTTCAAAAAATTATTAGGCTTGTCTATTGCAGGTAGCGTTCCATGTATTTAGTTCAATGGTGTCGACTGACTGTAAAAACAACAGAGTTTTTATAAAATAATTATGTATACAAACGATCTAAAACTCACAGAGTCAAACAAAACGTGCACGGTAGAAACAACACTGCAGAAATATTTAGCCTGCGCCCGAGAAACAATCAAACCACAATAATTCCTTGAATGGCACATCGAAATTATAGGTAAATAGCACAAACAAATATAATCGGCTTTCTAAGTCAACATGCTCTTTCGTCCACAGCCTAAATACTAACCAATTGATTTTGGTAAGCAGTAACTGCAATGAACTGTGTTTCATCAAAGGCAAACGTTCTTGTTTTCTCTGATTTCAGGTTTATCACTGATGCAATGTGCTCTCTTTTCCGAACAATGTGAATTCTTGGCTGATATTTATGCATAGAGTTCAACATGATCTGCAAGGTGACAACACAAAATTTTGAAACACACAAAGATTTATACGTCAATTTTCCAAAAAGTGAACTTATCAGCAAAAGCTCTGGTTGCCTTAAAATTTTCAATGTATGCATGAGCAAAGTTTACTAAAGTTTAAAAGATCGGGAGAAATTTTAAAAAAAATGTGACCGAACGGTCCTATCCTTTATTATAACTCTAGTGTACAATTTTCTCTTAATAATTAACTGGAAACAATTATATCTCTTATCTGTAAGGATGAGTAGGAGATCGACAGTTATAGGCAAAATAAATTAGAACCGCTAAATAGATTTTTAAAAGTTAATTTTTTTACATAAAATCCCCAAACTACACTGGCGGTTGAAAAGATCTGATATTTCTTATGTTGGTGAAAGTTTTCTTGCTTGTTATAAAATTTTTGTTTCTGTTTCCTTACAAGTAACTGTGTTTAACTATGTTGAAATATTGTGTAATCGTTATGATGGACATTTGACGTCATACTATCGTCATATGAACAGTTGGATTTCATTCCAATACTACTTTGTGAGCAGAGTTATTCAATGGATCAGAAGAATCTGGACAAGTTACGGAATTATTGAATCAAAGCCAAGAATTAATGTCGAATGTCCTGGAATGGTATGGGTGTTGTCAAAAAAGCTACTAACGAAGCAAAATTGTCATTGAAGTGGGCTGGAGAGAAGAAAGTGTCAGTGACATGTTAAGACTATGCTTCATGACAAAAATGCCAAGAATGAACTGTGGGACAGTGTCGCCCATTCTGCTTGGTGAAAATTCTGAACTGATAAACTAAAAATTTTGATAGATAGCACGGCTGGCGTAAGGCCTACCGAATTCTAAATCTGTGGCTAAACATTGTAAAAGTTGTACAATATTTCATTTCATCGATTGTTTCCAAAGATTGACATTACGCTCTACCGTAATTCTCCATAGTGATAATTGTTGATCAGTCCATTATCACTGACAGTTTACATTATGTTTTAACAATTGCAGAACATATTTTTTGAAAGGAAACTGAAAATTTTACAGTAATTTTGTGTCCAAAGTTTGATTAATAGTTTTTATTCACTTCGATAAAATCTTCAAAAATGATCGAACTCAATATTTTATGTGATATCGAGTTAAATCATGCCATCATGGAATAAATATTTTATTCAATATTTACTCCAAACCCAAAGTCAGTTTTCAGAAAAATTGCAAGTCGACTTCAACACATTTGAATAACTAATTTCAATTCCTAATAGAAATGGCAATCGCTCTAATGAAAAATCAATGGAAATTTCCAAAGTCCATTTCTGTACGTCAGCACAATACTTGTTTAAACTTTAAAATTTACGTGATTTCAATCACATGCTGAAATTGATTACTTTCCTATGAATTCGTTGTTGTTAAAGGTCACTGTCGTGTTGTGGAGTGTCGTGAACGAAATATTAATGTTCAAACATTTAATAAGAGGCCGTCAAATAACCCCTCGTGCTGGCAACTCCTTCACAGTGTACGTTTACATGAAGTACTTACATGTCCTTGTTCATCCATTTCGTTGTTTGTAAGTTTGACTTTCTCGAATGAAAGCGGTTGCTTCATCAGTTGCTCGCCGGTGAAAGGTGCGTCTGGATGCATACACAGTCTGGTTGGAGCTGGTGGGTCCGCCTTTCCAGACACCAGCCAAGTAGAACGATGATACGCGTAACGGTAGCGTTTGTCATCCACAGGAATGATATCCATGAGAACGAGATAGCTTGCTTTTGGATCTGCCCCAATGACAGAAAATCGTAAAGTTGGAAACATCCGCCTGTGTAAAAACAGATTGAGGAATTAATGAGCGAATATAACATAAACAAACAATAAAAACTTTATTCAATTGTTAGCTACTGTCCGCAAATGATCAATTTTGTTACTTGAAAGTCATAGAAGTATCTTTAACTTTGCATTTTATAGATGCATCATTCGCTAACCAATTGATAATTGTTAACACTGCCACTGCCTGTATATCACAGTTTTTTGTTCTTAGATTCATTATCAGTCTTCTGTTCATAGCTGCAATAAAATGCAACATGACCTTGCTGCTGAAAGTGAGGAAGACAAATGTTATGCTATTGCTGGACGCTGACCGTTGACGTTGCACATACCAAAAAAGATATTTCAATGTGAAAAAAAAGTGAAAGATGATTTTCTTATAATTTTTACTATTTATTGTGCTATGTGGTTGTTGAGTAACCAGTCCCAATGAAATGACTGTTGTCAGTCAACACTGTCCATCATATTTCCATAAAAGGACTGCGGGTTCTACCACAGATAAAGACAGCGGCTAACGAATCTTGCCAAGTCTGGTGTTCATCATCGAATTTGAGTTTTAGGAGCCGAGAGAAGGCAAAGTATGTGTAACACAGTTCCATATAACATAATTTACACCGCCAATCCATCTGCAGTGCTCTTCTATGAAGTGAAGGATTTTTATCTTGTGCTGAATGTATCGATAAATACATTCAATACTTTATTGGCATTTAGCAATTCATTCGAGCCAATTCTTTACAAAAATTAAGGCACTTTCTTTTAGCCGCAAGTGCAAAGTGTCCTGCATGTAGGCATTCATGAATATGAAACGAAAAACGGGCTGCATTGCTTTCGTATAGATTTCAATTTCTTCAGCACATTCTCAAAATCATTTGATATAACTCTCAATTTCACTTCTAAGCCTCTAAAAATTCATACATAATTTTCCGTTGAAATACGGTCCTAAGTCCTATCTTTATTACCAAAACATATAGCAGTATAGAGCGCTACTTTGTTTCATTGAGCTGTATTATATGAATAACAGAAATATCTTCAATTTCAGATTCAAAGTTGGTGGCGAAACCTCCATTTTAAATCAATATGACAAATCATTGCAGGAAATAATTTACTGGGAGTCTGGAATCCATTTTGTTATGGAATGGTGTTAAGCGTCATTTTCCGTTGCTGGGAGGTGTATAATTAACTGTATCAAATGTAATCAGGATGCAATAATGTTCCTATTCTATACTACTTTATCAATTTTTGCACCAACAAATCTACTTAAACACTTTTGAGTGTGGCTTATTCAGGCGATGACCAAAGAAAATAAGAGCAGTATACTTTGTATATTGTCTTCCTCGTGTAGCTAATGCCAACAAAATCCTATTGTAACATGACATTTAGCGCTTTTGTATCGTCATAATAATATATGTTTATATTCTGCATTTAGACACACTTTACTGTCGCTTACTTAGGAATAGTAAAGTGATTAGCAGTTTCATTTGATGGTAAATATTTCTATATAAATACAATCAGATGTTACAATTGCACTGGATTTATTCGTTTTTCTTAATATGCGTGTATTTGACAATAGCTAATCACCTGAAATTATCGATTCGCGTTTATTTGATGTATTTTCGAGGAGAACGCTTGTTTAGAAACAACAAAATATGCGTATTTAGGTGGTCGCAGAATCTGGTATCATTGGTACTTGAAAAAATCTATAAACGATGAATCAAATTGCATATTTTCACTGTCAGCCTTCGACATGACAGTTTAAGTGACTCGGTTTATGGTGGTAGTCGGGATTAAGATGACAATGGATAAAGTTCTCGAACGGCGTTACGCGTTAGCAGCCATTACAGATGAATGTTCAACTACTTAGTTATAGACTAAGATTACACATAATTGACGCAACATATGCCGATTATATTGTCCAGAAATTGTCTCACTTCGCACAAATTGTCTATTTCTTCTCCCAGTACTTTCCATTGTAAAAATGGCAAAATGTAAAAATCATTAAGGTTAATGCAGTGCCAACTATTCACGAAAAGGCATCTCAGATGTATAGATACTATGGATTTTTGACTTGAGATTAAGAAATCCTTTACATTCTTTATGTTAAGCCTATAGACATATTGGATGACAGCGCCAATGAACTTTAAAATGTCAATTTCTTTCGGCAAACATCGACCTCTTGAAATCACGCTGGTATGTGGGAAATCTTTAAAAGTTTCAAGCAAACCGCACGATAGCGTGACTATCGCGCGTTTCTAAGTGTCAATTTTGCTCACCGCACGCCTCTATATTTACGAACTCTTTTATACAAGTGTTATTGCGGCGGCTTTTTGAGCTGCGATTTTATCACTGTCGGTTTCCGACCATTATAAGTCTAGCTATCATCGCCTAAGTATAATGTTAGCTCTCGCGCAAATCCTATCCTCTGAGACACGACAACACTTGGATGATTCAAACAGGTTTATCTCAGTCACTACAGGCTTTCAACTTTCACTTCCTCACTTTGTTGCCTGTAAACCTGCACGCATGGCAGAAATACGTTATCGGTCGCACGCGTGCTGGCTTTGTGAATGCGTTTCTATTCTTGGGCAATGTGTGTCACCAAATGCGGAAAGAAATTCTGGATTTCTGGATTAAACAGCTTACGTTTTGTACTTGAGTCGGTATTTTACCAACGAAGGTTTGCACTAGTGAAACCTTTTAAAGGCAATAAAGTTTTTGTAGTCTGAAAGGTCGAATGCTATTTGGATATCTTTATTAACTCTCTTAAGACTGCACCTTTTTTTTCAAATAGCGTGCGGCAAGATAATATTTCGATTAAATGTTAAAAGTCAAAAGGCATATCGATACCATGTCGTTGTTTAAGATTTATTGATACTTATTTGAAGTAACACTAAAGCTAAAATGCTTTCTAATGAATTAAATTGAAAGAGCCACTGACCGCCATATTGTTTACAAGAAATGGCAAATTTATAAAAAAAATGTTTTCACTACAGAAGTGGTTTAGATTTTTCCTTCATTGGAGTACACTTTCCCCATAATGTTTTCAAAGCTAGTTACAGATAAATGCTCTATACAGCCACATGTTATGTATAGAATTCATTTTATGTATATGGATAAACACAAAATGCAAACACAAGATGCAAACACAAAAAGCACAACCGTTCATCATGCACTGCACATAAATATCGAACAATTCACAGTTCGAACAACTCAAGTTATACATTACTCATTATTAGCTATACAATAGAAGAACATACACATCAAAAAAGTCATTTTCAGTGTTCATTATTTTACATCGCTGAATATTTAATCAAACGAAATGCTGCTTTTCCCTAATATCTTCTCATACTTTTTCGAACTTATGCGCACATTGCACGTTCTCATGAATTTAAGATTGTGTATTTTGCTGCCAGCTTTGCATAAAATACGTGAAACGCTTGCTCTAATGACCGTGTGACACGTAACTGTCGTGTGATGCGAACACACATGAAAACATGCAAATACAAGTCACGGTGGAAATACAATTTGCTATATATAGCTATATATATATACATACTGACAAATAAATTTCTGGGGCAATTGTTACCTGAAGATAAAAACCGACACAAAATCTTTCTTCGACTAACATTTCAAATAAATAGAAAACAAGACTCCAAGACTAAACGAACAAAACTTTCATCTCGTAAAGGCTACGAACTATATGTACTTGTTAGTAGGCATGTCAGAAACGCAAATACACAGACAAGTTTTACTGGTCAAAGTCATCTGAGATCTCTTGATAACGTGTTTTTTCATGAACAAGCATGTCTGTAATCTTCAATATATCATCAGGATTTTAGTGTTTTCAATACATGTTAATTTCACTATAATACAACCAAAAATATCCCAATGGACCTGACGGATACAACCTTATAACACTTGACTATGTAGCTGCAATTCGCTTAATGTTGTCGCCGTAATCCAAATCAGTCGACTTGAAGAACAAGACCCACTCCATAGTCTATAAATTTTGTATTTTATCGATACTTTATACATTTGAATTGAATCTACAATCTTGTTGGAAATAAATGGAATCGTTACAACGACATTGTATTGCATTCTATGCTAATAGTGCTTATTAAATTAGTTTTATTATCGCTCATGACTATGGGAGTTCTTTCCTAATTTTTTCGCATGCATTGCAATAAATAATTGAACAAGAGGATCGTGCTGTGAAAATGGTTTGTTCATGTAAAGTGATAACCAACCATTGCAATTTGGACGTACGTCTTGACTTCTATGACAATAACGACCGTAATTAAGTGTACGTAGGGTGAATGCTCGACAATACTATCAAAATTAAAAATACTTTCAATGAAAAACTCATAGCTGATCAGAACGTAATCTTGGCTCTTGATCATCCAGAACTTCTCGCTACTTGCTATAATCTACAATTGTTTGAGTTTTCCTTTGATATGAAGATCCAAAGAAACGTTTCGTTGCATGTTTTTTTTTTGTTATTGTTTGAAGTATCTAGAAAGCCAATGGCATGTGGCTTAACGGCAAGTCTGGTTGTGCTATGTGAATTTCAGATCATCAATTCATATATTTTGAGATCCACAGTTTTTACAGCAAGTAAGCACTGGATTATTTACACAGCACTACTAAACTTATGGCTTGGCTACGCCTTTTGTACAAATGCATCGGATACATGTTTTTATCTTGAGTTCATTATTTGAGTGCGAGCTTTGAATTTTGTTCTGCAAGTCATACGATATATTATCAGGTCGTTGTCGAAAACCAGACATGCTCGTCTCAGTCAGGATTTAGCCGCTGCATGAACATGTCCAAATGGTCAAATCCCTTTTAAGCAGGGTGTTGCCTGTTGTTAAATCAAAATTCTCTGCGTGGATGCATAGATATTATCAATAAAAGCGCACAGTACAATGAGCAATTTCTTTGTATGATTGGCTTGAATTTAATTTCATTTGATTGAAGGTTTTGGCACGAGGAGATTTAAAACGGCATTCCATAACACGAACACAATGTTTGAAAAATCGAAGCTGGACTCCGACGCTCTCTGTGGTGTTGGAGATCTTCAAAGTGATGAATGTGTAACCAATCAGAAAACTGATATTATCTGTGATTAGCGTTCTTCCATGCATTGTGTTAACAAGCTTCATTCAGGCTGTAATTTATCATATGCTAGTTCACTCGACATGAAAATGGTAAAATGTTGATAGCTACAGCTACGAAAATCTTTTTTAGCAATTATGCCACGTCGCTGCCGATAGTTATAATCATGTAGGCTATTTTTTCGTTTACTTTTTAACAGAGATGTCGAAGAATTGATTATAAGTAGTTGTTGACTCGTGCAGAAAAGCATGTTAGGCACTGGCTTATCGGAACTGTGTCATAAGCTATGTGGTAATATTTCGGTATATTCCCATTAAAGGTTTGGAATAAAAGCTTTATCGAAATGCGCATATAAGCTTTATCAAACTTACATGATTCATTCTACGTTTTTATTCTTTGATGAATGAAAATGCAAGACAATATAAAAGCTAAAAGAAAACATATGCTTGAAAATTGAATGATTTTAGCTCAATCGTCTTTTGCTGTCCGCACATATTGCTTGTATTTTTTTATGACACTGGCATATAGCCACACATGTAGCCGATATGATATGCAGTCAATTATCACCAACCTTCCAGCCTTTGTGATGATCATTTCTGTGCCCAGCTCGTTGAATCGATCCCAAAGCTCCTTTCCTTCCAAGATCACCTCAATGCCATCGATTGCCAAATCTTCGCAACTACCATCATCACTTCTGGATCGCTTTGCGTTGCAGCCCGGCTCATTATCGCACTCTATACTTCGCTTTCTCGGTAAATTGGCTTCTTCTTGAAAATCTTAAAAAGAATCTACTCATTAAAGCAACAAAGAGCACGGACACACAATTCAGATTTGGAATTTACTGAATTCATATTTTTTTCAACTGATATTTTGGATGTGTTAATTTTCAAAGATCCACCGTCATTGCGCAAACATGAAAATGCACATTGTACATATACAAATTCTGATTTATATTTTATTGTCTCGCGCAGTCTCAAAACAAACCTTTTGTTTACTAATTGCGCAAATTGTTTATGATGGGCTTAACCGCGCTTTTGAAAAAGCAAATATCGTTTATGTTTTAATGTGTTATATTGTCATCGATCGACAAACCTTTGTTCTTCTCTTTCTCTACAGAGATCAGTGAGTCGATGGAGAATGCTGTTGCTTTTTCAGAGAGACTGACGGATTCCGCTGTCGTGATGGACTCCATATCTTGTCCTGAGCGCATTCTCGCCTGCGCTCTGCACTCGCAGTTGGACGTTGTGATTTAACAGCGATTCACTTAAATGTGTAAATCATTTACGTGGTAGACAAACAACAAGTGTAATTGGCAATTAATTTGATAATCGCATGTTTGGTACCTGTCACTTGAGACTCTAGTCTGTCAATAGCTTTAGCTATCTGTGAAAAGGGGTTTATTTCTAGTGTGTGCGCTCTTTTACGCATTTCTTATTGTGTCGTTGCTGAGATTGGATAATTCGTGCGCGTTGACGGATCCCATCTTCGCGGATTCCTGCGCCTGACATTCACATTTGTTTAATTTTGTCAGGTGTGAATTTTGCGGATATGTTGTGTGCGCAAAATTGCCTCTAAAATAACCGTGTCTTTTCATACACTTCCATTTGACGATAATTTTTTTCCCAGCACGACGAAATACTTTTGAGGAGAAAAATCCAAGCGCAAACGTGCATGTAAAAAGCAACTTTGCCAAGAAACAACGCCTACATATGCGAAGCATTGTATATTTTTGTCTTCAAATAAATAGCTCATATTACTCACGGAATGAAATCATTAGTAAATCAGCGATACTTGTGAGGTATTTTACGTTAATTAAACGTTCATACCTGGCGTAACTGGGTGGCCGCGTAAATCACAAAACGTCACGAAAACGCAAACATTTTCTCGCGATCCTATGAATGTGATAGCAAGGCGCACTTATAAACATGCATGCAGCGACAGACCGGATCATTTTCTCAAGCTGCAAGAGATTTCGTGATTGTCTAAAAAACGTTCATTAAACGTACGGGGTGGTGCCTTCAAATCAGCATCTCCATGTGTGCTTCTATAGAATACGACTGGGCGTTCAAGTCAATTTTGCTTCATGCAAACAAGAAAATAAGTTCAAGCTGGTTGCCACTTTTTGCCGTATAGCTGTTCATCTGGTTGTGCCAAATACGGTAAATCGCAACTGCATGCCAATTCTAGATTGGTCGGCGTCGTGTCTTATCAGATCGAGCAGTTTTCATCAACGTGTATTAAGCGTTTTGCAGGTGTTTCTTTATGTATCACAGACGACTGTTAATTTGACAGACACAATTATGTTGTGAAAATTAAAAGTCACCAATACATTGATGCAGTTCTTTGTCTCCTTTTCGATACAAATTCAATTTTTTGGGATGGTGTGTCAAACCATCATCAAGATGATTTTACGCTCATCAAGTGCACTTCGTCACATGCTAACAGTCATAGACTTTCAGTTCTTAAAACTTTATATAATTTTGTGCAGTTTGTCTGTATTTGAGTACTACGCCTACGAAACTCGCCTGATCACACTGTACGTGTACTTCCAGCCACCCAACATTTGCAATAGATAAGTACTGTGCTCGTTGGCATATTTAGCGCTTTACAGTTTCAATATTTCCAGATTGTTGTGCTATAGGTTTGCGTGCATGTTTGTTTGTCTTTTTACACATATCAATGGATGTAAACAAAATTAACTGTGACATATGGGCGTTACATGCCTGCAGAAACTAATGAATAGCTGCATGGCCTAACTAATCGGAAAGATAAAGAAGAAGGTGTAAAAAAGCCAAGACTGATTTAGCACGAAAGCGGAAAATTTATTCTATTTACTTTATTGTGATAGCCATCCATTTATTCAATTTTGCTTTGCCGATTTTGGCTGTTCTCTTGCAAAAAAAATAATTTTTTATGGAAATAAAAGATAGGAATGTTTCTAAAATTCTCACAGAAGGAATGAAACAGGGTTTTTATTGATACATTGATTAATACAGCTATTTAGATTTAAGCTGTACTGTAGCTAACAGGCATTGTCGATGTTTTTTCATTATTTGCTGTGACCTAATTGCTTCTTTTTTTTACCCGAGGAATGCTATTGTTTAATTTGTTGACTTTTCGTGTACTTTTTCACATGAAAATAAACTAAACAGAAACTTCTCCTGAGGAATTCTTGCAACATCACACAGAAATGAGACGTTTTTTAACACTTTAGAACTATAAGGCTTTTACTATATTTTATTGCAACATATAGAAACTGAATCTCTTAGATCTAACTCTTTATAAATCATGTGCACCGACAGAAACTCAGTTAGCACTTTGCAGAAAAGAATTATATATGGATTAATTAGCTTTGGAAAGCTCTATCAGAGGAAATCTGATTTCCCACGGCTAAATGCCAAATAAATCTATATATATCTGTACAAAATATGTCTGGTTCCTTTAAAATGCTATCATAGCTGGTTGAAGGAGCGTAGCCAATGGATATTCATGGAATTGTGTCGAATTGTCGCGCATGTGGCTTTTTATCGATATATAGTGTTGATAAAATGATGATGTGATCGGTGTGTTTTGTGTTTGTGTGTCTATTATGATGATAGGTGTTATTCCGTGTATATGACCATCTCCTTCATTTACATCTCCACGATAATTGGTGTAGACAAAAATGTTGGGTTCCCCTGCATTGAAACATATTCCTGTTGACGTATAACCGAGTGAATTACACTTAACAAGTCGTTTCTGCGAGATAGTGATAAGACTAAACGTACGTAAACGCTCTCCAAACGCAACTAAAATGTGCGTTATCTGTGTGAGAAAATTTCGTAGTACATAATACAATGTGCAATCGCACACAAAAAAGGGCTGACAAAGAAGGGAAGCATTTCTGAGCAGATTAGCCCACATGCGTGACCGACGCATTAACGTTTCTAAAGAAAAGTGTCATGACAGTGATGTTATCAAAATTACAAGGTTGAAATTGAAAACATCTTGATGTTAAATATCATGGTCTGTGAAGTCTGATTCAAAATCAAAATGAAGAGGGAAACAATACATGATGAGAGCACACAAAGTGGTATGTTCGTGCACATGCGCAGTCACGCCAACTGATCTCGTCCGTTGCACTTAATTTCGCCATATAGCCAATGACATGAATTTCAACGGTCAAAATTTCTATAGTAAAAGAAAATTAGGGTATATATAAAGACAAAAGACAAGCAGTAATCAATATTTGTTTTAAGCACTCCTTATGCTCCACAGTTCTTTATGCTTCTCGAGGTGGGTGGAAGCAAAGTACAATTGCGGGCTAAAGTTCGTATATTTGACTAAGTTTTAATTGGTTCGGAAAAAAATAGGATATGATGAAATTTTCCAACTTAAGGGGAGTGGAGTACTCTCCTGTCTGCCGTATGAATTGTGCTTAGCGACCATCTTTGTGGCGATATGATGCGATTGGAGTGGAATGTTGTTCGATTTTTTGCATTCAAGTGCTTTAATCTTGGTGTTCTTTAGAAACTATAATTAGTAAACAAAACTAGCTTTGAGAATGAGGATGTTACAAAGTACCACTAATTTCCTGATATACACATTACACATGTCATAGCATGAATTCATCATCTAAAGAATGTAAAGTTAGTTGACCGATATTGCTTCAAGCTTCGTCGAGGCAAAACTTGAAAGAACTCTACAACGATAGCGAAGTAAATTGAAGTAAGTGCTTGGTGGGGAAAGAAAAGGTTTGGAAGAATGTTGCGCAAAACATGGCGCAAAATAGATTGAAGAGTTATGACTCCCGTGTCAACATTCCTATGTTGACTGTCAAAGTCATAATCGCCTTGTGTACATGGTTGAAACCTTTTGAAGTTTGTGCTTTATATGAAAAGGCTTCACAGCAAAGTTACATTTCTTCATTTGCCACGTTCCCAAAAGAAAAGCCACCAACGTACTCAAGAACATTGCGTGACTGCTGGTGTGAAAGTGTCAACGAGTTTGTTTGTTATTTAGACGATGTTGCGATAAGCATCAAGTGTTAAAAGATGAGTCATATATGGCCTGTTTCCTTTTTCACCAGTTAAATTCAGATGATAAGTAATAAATACCGTTTTCGCGATTTCATTTTTCAAATGTTTGTTCCGATACTTTTGACATGGTGGACATCAGAAAGAGAAAGAAAGAGAAATATGTGCGTAAACTCATGGGGAATGTTGTTAATCCAACGTTTACTGTTCAAACTTCCGAATGCATGTTTCAAGTGCTTGTATAAATATTATATATTCAAGCCTTTTAGCCACTGCAAGTTTGGCTTCGTATTCCTTAAGTAAATCGCAAACTGGGATGGGATGAAAATTTCATCTTCCATTTCGAACTTCACCGAATTCAATTCGGAACATCTTGAATGGATTTAGTACTATTGCATTGTTCTTTCCTTATAAACGGCTAATTTATGTTTTCAGGACGATTTTGAAGATATTACTGCCAGGCTTTGCTGGACATTTAGATTGAAAAATCCTAACCGCATGCATATGCGACATATCGAGGATAATTACTCATCATAGTGCCCGATAAGTTCGGTATTTTTACCATAACGAGAATATTAATCCATAATCTCTTATTTCATTTACATATTATACACGTTCATGTACATTCTGCAACAAAAAAATGACACTCGACATGTTTTTTGATGATGAAATATGTAAGACCTCGTATGAATATTTTTTTAAGTGTTGTACATTTATGTTTATCAACATTGTCGGTAAAACCTACTAGGTAAGTTGATCATGAAACTCATAATGATAAATTCATCGCTGATTGGGGCAATTAACAAAGATTATATTCTCCGGAAATTCACAGCAGACAAAATTCATTGTTATATTTATAAAGGCATTTTATTCAACATTGAGCGGTATAAAACACCACAACTACTCCATAAAACTACTTCGTATTTGTTCACCCAAGATGTGTGGCGCATAGATGTAATTTGAGGTCGAGCAATTATTCCAATCAATCAGTGAGAAAGTCGGTTAATCTAAGAATGACCAAAGATACCATTTATGCGTGTAACGATGAGTTATGAAACAATGCAAATGAAAAACTGACGAAATTAGAATAGTCTTCGTCATTGACACCTATAGTCTACTTTGTGAAAGAGAGGGCACCATGTTTTTTCAGAGGAAATAGCAGCACAGTGTTTTCAATTGGGCTTTTGTTCACAAGTTCAGGTTTCAATTCTTCCCTCCGAATACTGCAAAATTGCAATTAGAACGCGATTGGTTACAATTCTGTGCCCCATTAATGCACGCAAATTGCGTTATAAATCGCATTTTAACCCTAGCCTTAAACATAATTCGACCGTTCGTCTGGTTGAGAAATCAAACTCTAATTCAATTCCCATTTGCATGGTAATAGGTTGCAGAATGTATACAGAGAGTCATAAATGGTATTCCAACTGTGCTATTCACAAGTCTTCCCCAAAGAAGTAGACTAACCATGTTGGGGGACTAAAGTATACTGCTGCAAAAATTTGCGTCATATGTAAACGGCGTGCGCTATGTGAGCATTGATCATGTATTATACGTTAATTTCAATTTAAAGATAGCTAATTATAGCCTGTTGCGCTAACAACATTAAGAGCGTACGGTGTAATATTGAATTGTTTTAAGTTTTCAACAAGCCTTTGAT